TTTTGGCCTAGAGTGTTCACTTCTCCTGCCTTCTCCAAACTAAATGAAATGAAAGTCACTTTTAAATCTTCACCTCCTGGTTATCTGGTGATCATGCCATGATCAGTGTAGTTGTTCGGGCACTTCCTGCTATAGGGTGACAGTGATTTATCCCTTTTTACTCAGTTTCTCTCCTGCATTTTCAACCTGTCACAATCATATCCAGTGGAGACTATACGTGGTTATTGCACGAATATGTTCCACCATTGCCACCATCGGGAGTCTGGTGCAGTGCAGAGAGATTCAACTGCCTCTGGAGCAAAAACATGTAGACAGAAAGTGACTGCTAAGAGGCTGGAAGAGATTTAGAGTACTGAGATGCAAAAAAAAAAATATGTGAAAATTGTATTTTCTTATAAAAAAAAAACAATGCCATAGCAAACCAACTGTCATCCATTTATGGTTTATAACTACTTTATGTTAGTAATGCTTGCTTCTAGCCACAAATGTTGTTGGATTGTGTAGCAAAAGCAACTAGAAAGAGAGATCTTAAATGTAAAATGAGTGACCCTGGTCCTAGAAACCCAAAATACACATTTATCTAGATTAGTGATGGGCCGAACACCCCCGTGTTCAGTTCGAATTCGAACTTTAGAACGTGTGAAAAGTTCGAATTCGAACTCGAACTCAATGCAAGTCTATGGGGGTAGAACATTGAAAATCAAATGTCCCCATTTTCAAGCCTTGAATGCAATGTATTGGCAATAAAAAGTTTATGGGGATCCGGGTACTGCCCTGAGGGACAGAAATCAATGATATTAAAAAAAAAAAAAAAACAACGTTTTTAAAGCAACAGTGATTTTTACAAGACTTACAGGGTAAGAGTAAAAATTAAAAATTCCTTTAAATATCGTGCCTGGGGGTCCCTTTAACCTGCCTGTGAAGTGGCGGATCTGTACGATGTATAGAACCTGGTGCAGCAAAACTGACATTTCTAAAACAACATTACTTTTTTTTTCTCTTAAAGTGTGCGGTTCCCCCTCCCAAACAATACCAGACCCTTTAGGTCTGGTAGAAATGTTAGGAAGGACCAATTAAAAAAAAACAAAAAACGGTGTAGGGTTCCCCCTAAAAGTCATACCAGGCCCTTAAAGGAGAACTATGAGATGAGTGATTTCCTCAAAAAAAGTGTGTTGCCCTTAAGGTCTGGTAGGAATTTTAAGGAGGAACCCCACCCCCTAAAACGAGGGGGGAAAATGTGGGGTCCCCCCTAAAATTCCATACCAGATCCTTGATCCGAGCATAGGCCTGGCAGGGCCGGAAAGGGGGGCGAGCGAGCGCCCCCCTCCCTCCCACACCAGGCCACATGCCCTCAGCACAGGGAGGGTGTCCCTGTGCTGATGGGAACAAGGGCCTCATCCCCACAACCCTGACCTGGGTACCCCTTTAATTAAGGGGGCACCCAGATGCCGCCCCCTCCCTTGTGAATGAGTAAGGGGTACTTGTACCCCTACCGATTCCCTAAAGGGTTAAATCAAATAGTTAGTAAAAAGTCCAGACTTTTCATAAACTCCTTTAATTGAAAAAAAAACAAAAGGCATGTTTATGACATGTCTTTTATTTAAAAAAAAAACAAAATGGATCCACCAACGTAATCCATGGTCAATCATGGCGTCCAGCGTTGTCCACGTCAACGACGGAATAAAAAATACATAGAAATAAAAAAAACATTTAAAACGCCGTAGGCAGTCCCGCCCTCTCCCCACCGCATAATGACATTTTGACAGTTGGCCAAAAAAACATAAACAATTTGGGCGGAGCTAGTGGTGACAGCTAGCTCCGCCCAATTGTGTAGTTTGCCATCATCTGATAGGCTAGACATGATTGGGCAGAGTCATTATGACTTTGCCCAATCATGGCTCCAAATGAGTACTCAGTCCTGATTGGGCAGTCTTGCACCTGACCTGTGGTCAGGTGCAAGTCTTTAACCAATTAGAGCTTCAAAGTGCTCTTTGTAGTATGGGGCGTTGCAAGGTCGAACAGACCGCGAACATCCCAAAAAGTTCGGCGAGCGCTCGAACAGCCAATGTTCGATTTGAACTTGTGTTCGAATCGAACCGGCTGGCCATCTCTAATCTAGATCTGATTTAACTATTTGGACTGTCAATACATATTGAGATGATGTTTTAGCAGGTTTTTGCTTATAATGAGAGCACAGTGACTATCATTTCAAATTATTCTTTTTTTAGCTTTTTCTATATAAAGGGGATTTTTTATTTATTTTTTCCTTTTTTCTTTGTATTTGTGTAGTTTACATTTCAAAAGGTAATGTGTTACTCATTGATCTTTCTCTCTTCAATCAGAATATGGGAAGGAGAGAGTATTACCATACATGTGCATTGTTGAGACAGTTGAGTTTTCTGCGGCAAGTGTCAGCTACCCAGTGATGCCATGCAATACGGCAATATGTCTGGCCTCTTATTGGCTTTCACAGCTGATTATTGTGTGTATTGTGTATATGATGGCATGTTTATGTTCCCATAATCCTGTAAGACTGTAAGCAGATGAGAGTAGAGCTTGTCAGAACAATGGTTTGTGTAGCTAATATCGTCAAAATTTAATAGGCAATACTTGCTGGACTGGGAGGCTACACAAATGTAATGTTTTCTGATATACATAATTTGATTTACAGGAAAGGAGGTCTACGCTTTAGCACATTATGAAAAAGGTTGTTCAATATCACCTGACATCAAAATTAGCAGACTTTAACAGATACATATTGATATCTATCAATGATTAGCATCTGAAACCATCATTATAAAAGACCCTTTCCTTGATACTCTAAAAACTGTGACCAAAAATGGAAAAGTGCTTTCTATAATATTTGTGGGCCTCTACTGTATATCTTTCAAAACTCATTCCTATGTTTCTGATTTGAGAAATCAGTACAATAGCTTTGAATATTGTTTGAATATTGAATAGCTTAAAAATATGTACCACTTCATTCAAGGTATTGAATTCTGAATTCTGTAAATATGGAGAGAAATAAAAGTAGAGCATGTGTTATAGTTCAAACCCCAACGTTTGCTTTTAAGCTATTTAATGGGATCATATAAAACTGTGTGTTAGAATTGTATTCCTGTTTCCCCACACTTCCTGCTCAGTCAAACAGGAGAGGTAGAGAAAAAAGAATGGCGGCACATACAGCATATAAAACCTAGCAGTAGTTCCAACTCTTCCCCACTCTACGCAAGGCCAAAAAAAGTTGCGTAGGCGAGTGTGCCTTTAAATTCTTTAGTGTACGCAACAGACAAGTCTGTAAAACTCTAAACATGAAAGAATGTTCTCATTAGACAAGTAAGCATCCTTCTTGTTCCTTCTTTTTATTACTCTTTGCACTTTGGATTAATAGCTTCATCTATTGCTAATACTAAAACATTCTATTTAGGTGGCAATTTACATAGATAGAACCTTTTCATAGAGCAGCTGAACTGTCACACAGCTCAGCAGATAATATATAAAATTAACCAATTTGCGGAAAGAAGAGATCTTTATTTATGACACGGGAGCTCTGCATCTATTTGTTCTGCTTTTATTTGTGCTGCTAGTATCAATCTACTTCAGGACACTGGCTTATGACAAGACTGAAGAAGCGGCTTATGGATTTCTGCTCACCAGGGCACTTTGGCCACCTTTCAGAGCCGAGAGCCATTCAGCTCAGCAATTACATGCACAGTAATCATTAAATTGTTTCCAAAATATAATATTCTTGCAAAGTGAAAAACCTGCAATACAACTTCTTCACCTACCAAGATAGAACTCAAAATAAACAGCTAACAAGCAATTATATATTTCAAATGCTTTCTTTTGATAGGTGGAGTGGCTGAAAAATGAGGATGTCATAGATCCTGTGGAAGATCGGAATTTTTACATTACAATTGATCATAACCTCATCATCAAACAAGCAAGGCTCTCAGACACTGCCAATTATACGTGTGTTGCCAAAAACATTGTGGCCAAAAGAAGAAGCACGACAGCTACAGTAATCGTATATGGTAAGCCATTGACTGATGTGCAGTAGAAGGATTACAGAAGTCTGGAAAAGAAATACCTTATTGACTATTAAATGATTCTATTGCGTTTATAGTAGTTGTTGCTGGTGGGTGGCAGTAAATATAATTTTCATTCTTCTATGGCCTTGACTAGACACACTAATGAGTATTTACTAACAAAGTGCAGAATAACTGTAAACCGCACAAATAAATCAGCAGTTGGTCTGATAACTCTAGTGCAGTGTTTCCCAACTCCATCTTTCAGTTTAAATACCCAAAGGCATTAATTTGATATCTACAATTACAACAGGACTGCATGATAATCAGTCTGTTTATGGAGCGGTAACAGATCATTTTCTCACTCCTCAGTTACTGGAAATGGCTGTCAGCCATGTTGAAAATGAACAGCTACTCACATGGTTGAAATAAATATATGATAATTGTTTTAGAATTGGAATACATTTATTGCTTTCTTTGTCAATTCTCTAGAGAGATTTCCTACTGCTTTGTGTCCTGGTCGCAGTGTGTCACACACAGACAGAAAGTTATAGGAAACCTCTCCAATGAAAACATTTTTTAGTAGAGTGAGATAGGGTTGTATTGGTATTGTTCTTATACTGATATCAAAGGGATACAGTGAAAAACCTGCAATAAAACTCTTTTACTTACTGATAAGGCTCAAAATAAAAAGCTAATAGGCAATCGCGTATTTCAAATGCTTTCTTTTTATAGGAGGTCTATTCACTAAGTTAAGCAAATGTTCACTTTGCAAAGTGAATGATCAGGGGGCTATTCAAAATGGAGAGCATATATATTCAGTGTTTACTTCACACTACAGTAAACCTGTATTTTACTTAAAATACAGACCTGAGCCTGTGGTGTCCTTCAAAGTGTTTTCTGCATAACATTACAATGAACAGAGGTTTACCTTGATTCGGAATGGCAAAACACTTGAAAAACATGGTGCCTTATAAATGTAACAGTGTTTGCTTGTTTGTTTAAAGTAGGATTATGGCTGTTGTAAGGCCATCCTGACGCTCTGTTCTGACACTGATAACTTGGCTTGCAATATCAAATATATGTGTCATACCACACACATTTAAACATACATTACTGCTATTAAGCCCAACTCCAGCCTCACTATTGAACTGTACATGTACTTTGTTATGCATTGCAATTCAGGCTTCTGTTTTTTTCCCCTCTGTGCTCCACACAGAAGACATGCACTTTGGCATTGCTGCTTGGTATATTCAAGGCTGGATGACATCCAGCTTCGTCCAGTCCCTTCCACAGTGGCATGTAAGCATCCCCTGTAGTCCAGAGAATCATTGCCATGACAGTGATGCACAAGTGGCCATTACATAGAACTGTCTGAATGCTAATGCAGCCCACCCTCTCCCCATTACATCTGTATCTAAGCAGCAGACAGACAGAGAGTCCACTGCTACCTATCATAAGGTGTTATTTGCAACACTGACGCTGTCACCATGCTCCACTGCCCTGCTTGATGCAGCAGCAATCATAGGACAGTTCTTAGCTCACCTATCACTAACCAATCCTAATGTCAGCCCCATCCACACAAGCACCCACAATCAAAAATGTAGATATCATTGGGATGCAACGATTTAATATTTTTGGAAGTTAATGAAGCACACAGAGTGCATAATTACAGTATTGCTTGCTTGGAGTTGGGTTTTATTATAAGATAACATTCATGTTTATTCATAACTGTGATAAAATACCTTGCTATTGTTTTAATTTTTAGTGAATGGAGGGTGGTCTACATGGACAGAGTGGTCTGCATGCAGCAACCGGTGTGGAAAAGGCTTCCAAAAACGGACGAGAATGTGTACAAATCCTGCACCACTGAATGGTGGATCTGTCTGTGATGGACAAAGTGTTCAGAAAATAAGCTGCACTACCCTGTGCCCAGGTATTATCACATGATGTAATAACAATAGAAACATAAAACATTGTAGTTATGATGAGACATGCAAGAAGTTTCACTGCATTTACCTTTAAGACTTTTCAGCCCTTCATGCATACCTTTAAAACATCTCAATTTAGTCTAAATGTCATAAAAGATTGGGGTGAAGTGTGTATGGATTTTGTCAACATCGTGTTGGATTAGCCTAAAAACTTCCAACAGTTAAAGGAGAACTATGGGGTTAGGGCTTTCCCCCATAGTTCTCCTTAGGGTAACGGGAGGACACAAACTAGCGTCCTCCCATCACCCAAAGCTCAGTATACCGCGAGCTGCAGCTTGCGGTATACTGAGATGCTGCAGTATACCACGAGCTACAGCTCGCGGTATACTGAGATGCCACAGCTGAAGCGCATCCCGACAATTATGTCTGGATCCGCCCAGCTGCGTGAGTGACAGCTGGCTCTGCCTATCTAGAGGCAGAGCCAGCTGTACCCGCCCCCTCCCCCTTCCACCGGAGCGGGGGGGGGGGAATCCAGCCCCTCCCCTGTCACGGCGGTGTGTGTTTGCTCACTTCCCGATCTACTGAGCCGACCTGTGACAGTCTCATTGTCACAGGTCGGCTAGAACTAGGAGGCTGAGTGAAAAGCACTCACCTCATAGTTCTCCTTTAAATGTCAGTTTATTTTTTTTCTGTCTGTATACTTTTGGGAATATTACTTTTCACTTCCTTTCCAATAGACACAAAAGGAAGTTAGAGGAAATCACCCAAAGTGAGAGGAATTCCAGTCTTTTCTTCCCAAAGCAGGTGCCCATATTGAAAGTTTTCACCTCACCTCTTCCTGTTCTTCGCATTGTTCCAAAATCAGGTGTCCGTATTGCAAGTTTTCCCATTACCTCTTCCTGTTCTGGGAACAATTCTAACATTCGGGATTTTCCCTCACTTGATTTCTTGATGACAATGGTTAATAGGACAAAGAGAGATTAATCTGTCCAATAGGGACACAGACAGCAACCAAAACTGAACAGAGGGTCTAACTCTTCCTCCCCAATCCAAAACTTGCCTAGAGATACACTTTAAATGTGGGACAAGTAATGTTTAAGGAGGCTGTGGGGAGCACGAATGTAAAAGCATTGATTTGAAAATGGGCTGTAATTGCAGTAATCTCTAGCAGTCTCGGGTGATGTGTCACTAGTCTACTATTGTGTCCTAATGCATAGCTCTAGTCTTTTCTAGACAACTCTTTCTTTGCAGTCTCTCGACATCTCCTGTAGCATGTCTGCCATCTCTGGCCACCTCTTATATCATGCCAGTAGGTTCTGTTCATTTCTGTTGCATGCCTGCAGACTCTGACAACACTCTGTAGCATTTACTGAATATTATGTGCAGCCCTTTGATGATGACAGGGGCCACACTTGAGGCCCCCTATAACCAATATGTTGTTTTTTTTTGAGCATGTAAATTTTTATTGGGTTACAACAAGAAATAAGGACATACAGACAACCTGAGTCACTCAGGGATACAGGGTGTTTACAGTGGTGAATACATTCCTTGGGCCGACAGGAGATCCGAAATGGTTTGGATGCCTTTGAGGGTCCATTTTTTGAATGTATCGGACTCACTTCCTGAGGGGAAGTGTGGAGTGGAGGTAATAGGCATCAGGGGAGCTACCATGCCTGGTAGATGGTAGATTTACCTGACTTCCCTCCAAGTGATAATAGTGTCTCTCAGTAGGATGTTCCTCTTAACATTCATTGGGAGATGAGGAAGGGGCGTGACTATCAGAGAGGAACATTAGGATGTCATCTGCAAAAAGAACTAGTTTTAGTTCGGTCGAACCCACCTGAATCCCCTGAAAACACTGAGAGGAGGTCAGAGAGCGGGACAGGGGTTCTGATGCCAGATTAAAAAGCAAGGGTGACAAAGGGCAGCCTTGGCGTGTGCCTTTATGTAAGGAGAATGGGGGGGGAGAGAGCGGTGGACGTGAAGATTCTGGCCATAGGGGATGTGTACATAGTAGAGATGAAGTGGAAAAAAGTGCCAGAAAAGCCCATGTGAGACATTACTAAGTTGAGCCATTGCCAGTTGACGTTGTCAAATGCCTTCTCCGCGTCCAGGGCCAAGATAGCCCGATGAGACGGAGAGGAACATGATAGCTTTGAGTATTCTAGGGCTGTTATCACTTTACGTATATTCAAGACCGCATAACCAATATGTTAACCACCACTGACCTATACATCTTTCTTTTCTCAGAGGATGGAGCATGGACTGCATGGAGCAAATGGTCTACATGTGGGACAGAGTGCACACATTGGCGTCGTAGGGACTGTACAAATCCCCCACCTAGAAATGGAGGCAAAGACTGTGATGGTCCCGTTTTACAGTCAAAAAACTGCACTGATGGATTATGTATGCTAAGTAAGGACAAGTCTGTGTAACTGATAAATACTAGCTGCATGCTTTGTTTGTTCTTTGCTAATACCATAGATCCTTATTAATCTCTGGATTTTTTCTTTTCGAAGCCTGAAATCCTTATGTGCGTTTGTATCTGTGCAATGTGTGTATAGTGTATTATGGTTTTATTCAGAATTCTGTGAAAATGAAGTTTGCTTCACAGTTAGGAAAAATGCTGTGGGTTTTTAGGTTTATAACTGACTGCAGGCATAAAATAATGAGATCAGTGTTTTAATGAGTATTTGTGTACTTATGATGCGTGAAGTCACATAACAATGAGACATCTCTACTGTGTGCTGTTAAATACATTTGTAAAAACAAGGGCACAATGGCCCATAATATAAAGAGGAAATGGTAAGTTATTTTTCAGCCATCAGCTATAACAGTTTAAACAAACCACTGTTCCTGCTATTGCCAGCCTAATGCCTGTCAGACTGCCGGGCTGAAATCACCAAGGGGCATCAGTCAAGATGCTGTGATGTGCTCCTGTGAATTAACCTTAGCTACATACCATAGGAGATTATGTGACCCATTCCAGCTGTCAGTTGAAGAACTATCACATGATCCATTCCATTTCTTATTTCATTACATCCTCCCAGCTGTTGAAATCAACATGTAGAGGTGGTATAAAAAGGAGTTATACGATATCAGTGGTGGATATTTATTTTGATACAACATGACAACTTTTGGGCATTGATATGAGTTCAGCATGCATTGGAGAGCCACTACAATATGTCTGATACATGGAAGGCATGTTGAGTGCAGTGCTGTCGAGTGCAAGCACTATGGGTCATAGATTGATAAAGGTCCCTCTGATGCATGCAAAATAGCAGTAGTAGAGAGTATAGCCCTCTGTAAGTGGATGGACCAGAGACAATTATAGGCTTTCCATTTGATCTAGATATCTCCTTTAAGCTATATTGTTTTACTTACTTTTTTCCAAAAGCCATCATTTTTTAATGTTATCTTTCCCTTCTTGTATGAAATATGACACATTCCACAATTCACTAACCTCAGTAGAACACATATAAGCTTCACTATTTATGGAAATAGGATATTATATTGTAGATGTATTTTCTAGATTTGCCTGTTTCTTCGAATGCATTTACATGACATGAGCTCAGGCGAGATTCCCATTACCATCATTCTTTTATAAAAGTCTGTAGCAGAATTCAGTAATGAAAAAACACAGTGGAATATTGACATTCTTAGCCCTAGGGTGTTTCCAGTTCCTTAGTGTCTGGGTTTAATGGTAATATTTTAATGGTTTCCTATATACAAGTCAAGAAATGTATAATCCTGCTCCACGATTCATCAGTGTTGAGAAGATTGATTTGTCATGCTTTATAACTCTGTCTGAAGCTAACAAGTTGCCCCGCTCTTTCTCTGTCTTTATTTTTTCCTCCTCTCTCCATTTCTGGATGCTGTCATTAGTTTTGTCACTTTTATATAATAAGTTGAGCATTTCATATTTACTCTTCTCCTAAAGGGGCTATCTGGTGATCATCAAAAATAGGTTAAAGAAAATCACACAAACTGCTGTGCTCACTTCAAAGAAAAGAGGACTATTTTATTCAGGCTTGTAGAATGATTGTTTTTTTTTTAATAAACAAGTGAACTTTGGGGTTACAGAGTACATTGACTTTCAATGCTTTTCCCTCGAGAAAAAATGAGTTATAGATGTACTAAGGCAGTTTCATTTGAAAGGCCAGCATTTTGGATGGGGGCTTTTAAATATTAAATATATACAAGTGAAACTCGAATAATTAGAATATCGTGCAAATAAAGCCTTATGGGGAGAGGCTTCTAATTTCATCCCTAGCATATGTAGGCAGTTGTTAACCGTAAGCCTACACAGGGCCTGGGATACAATCATCTCTGCAACCATGTTAGAGAATTTGGGCATCTGCACACAGTAATTAAGGGACCTGCAGAATATATTTAAAACTGGACTTCAGATATAAAAGACACAGATTAATGTAGTTCTGTATTGATGAATACATAATTAATGTATTTTTTTCATGCACGCAGTGGTTTGACCTGGTATTAGCCTCTTACAGTCCCCTGTACAGCAGACTGGGAGAGGGTGGAGCCAATCAGTTGCATTGCAATAGTAATGTGCTAACGAGGCACTGTAGAGATAGTGTAGATCACTGTGTCGCCCTGATGAAGTGACCCCTCTGCCAGCCCGGTGGCATTTTAACGTTTGTGACAATATTCTTCAATAAAGCAGCTACTACTTGTTGCGCTTTAACTAATTGAGTGCTGGTGACCTATCTCTACACTGCTGAGTATTTGCCATCCATAGCGGTCATTTCAAGCACCAAATCTATTACTATCGGTCAGAGAGCTGTAAGGTGTGCAGCTATCATCTATATCACTTTATGTGCTAACAAGGGACATGCTGAAAAGAGTAGAAAGCCGAGTCATAGAGAAAGTAGTTTATCTTCATGTCTGCTGATACTTAATTGCTCAATCACAGGCTGGGGCAGGGACAGAATTTGTGATACACAGTAAACTCCTTATTATCCAGCATTCAAGCAACCGGCACTCTCAACCAGCCGGCAAAAAAGAATCGAGGACATTTTTTTTGTCGGTTGCTTGATAGACATGTTAGCAACTAAAACAGGAATGTGCTGTGCGGCACAGCTGTGTAAACTTTAGGACTGGATGACCAGAAATGTAAATCCTCTGGTAGGTAAAACAGCTCCTATATATGTATTTCACCAGTGTATTTAGCTGTTTGTCTGAAGTATATTTCTTCCATATCACTTTTCAGCCCTTCTAAACCCAAACTTCACTAACAGACTTCATGGTGGCCATTTTATTCTCCTACTTTCCTGAACCCTTGTACTTTATTCCAACTTACCGTTGTCTGTTGTAATAAATATTACTATTCTTTCACAGCTTTGTACCATTGGGTCTTGTTTTTGGTCATATGATATTGTGTCGTAATATTTCCCTATATTGTATGTGCAGCCTAAGCAATGAGTTTTAAGAGCTGATGCTAAAAATGGCTACCCAGTTTGATATTAAGGGTTTGGAGAGGCTAATGAGTTTAATTTCCAATGTCTTCATGTTCATGTGTTTCTTGGAGACTCCAATGGTGACCTAGCAGTTTTTGCTCCCCACACTCAAGGGACTTCCCAATTATTTATTTTGTACATATTCTAGAGAAGCCTAAAGAATGTGACATATTTGGTTTATTAAAAGCTAAAATATTTTGTAGTCTGAAATCGTGTAGGTCAATATGAGATTCAATGATATACTGTCAGTTTGAGGTAGTGAGGTAGTGATGGCTTATTAGAGCTGGTAACACCAGATGACTTGTCATACATTGGCAGCATTTTAAATGCACAGAATACACACCCAAATTATCTTTTTTTTCAATTGCATTATTGCCTTAAAGTGCACGTGGGAAACGTCCCACATTGTGTACAGTATTTTGAGTGTGTTGCATGTTTGCTATTCAAGTCAGTTGAAATGAAAACGAAAAACACGCACCTTTAAAATGCATGTCAACATACACCAACGCAATGCATGCATTTGGCTGTGAATGTAGTTTCATGTGTATAATAATCATAGGCGTACGCACACTGTGTTCCGGGTGTGCCTGGGCACTTCCTAATCACCCAGCACCAAAACCGCAACAGCAGGTGCCGTGTTTTTAGTCACTGAGCTGGTGGAGAGATCATAAAGATCTCTCTGTGACTGGCTCAGCGATACAGAGCACAGCAGCACTTGCCTCTTACATTCCTCACAGCTGCAGTCCTCTGTGTCTGGGAAGCTGCAAGGGAGTGTGGCTGTGGCCTCCTAAGCTTCCCATCCAATCAGGAAGCCAGACGAGTGGTCACATGACCACATGCCAAACTCCCTGCTTCATTATTGCACCCTTGCTGGAAGAAGTTTTATATAT